TCCTTGTCCAGAAACTGCCGCGAGAGCAAAGCCAGCTTCTGCAGGCCGGAAGTATGCGGCATGAAAGACTCATCGAACATACTGTTTTGGGGGTTCCTTATTATGATTAAAGTAATGGGCCCCAAAACGCTATTCTAATTACTAAGGCCCTAACAGCAGCATGCACACCAGCGAGTGGAGCTTGTGAACAATGAATGAGAAACAGGCCGGAGCACCCCACTTTGATCGAGGTCAAAAAGCCTGGAATCACAGAGGGCACGTAGGAAAAGCTCTTTGAGGCTTTCTCACCCTAAACCCTAAACCCTAAACCCTAAATCCTAAACCCTAAACCCTGAACCCTAAACCCTCAAATCTCTCGTTCAAGGTTTGGAGAGTGGCGCGAAGATGAGATCGGCTTTGCGGCTGCTGGCGCCGGCTCTGCGCAGCACCTTAGGGTTTAGGGTTTAGGGTTTAGGGTTTAGGGCCTTGCCCCACCGAGTGAAGGAACACTCCGAGGCTAAAGGTAACTTCGGTTCAAGCCCAAGGACGAGACCCGCAGAAAAGAGCTAAACTCCTCGAAGGAGAGTTCACCTTGGCAAGCCAAGGCCGGAGCCCAGAAAATCTCAGACTGAAACTGGAAGAAGTGTTTCCTCCCGTTTCTTCCATGCTCTGCGCAGTACTGCTCACGAGTCGCCAGAGGCGTTCTGCGCAGCCTTTCGCATGCAGAAGTCCACTGCCTGGGCAGTTGCAGTCGAAGGCCCTAAGTTTCAAAATCAGAGTGTCCGTGCAAACTGACTTCTGTGTACCTGTGGAACATTGATCTCGGATCGGCCGTAGGCTGCATTGGACTCGCCCCCTTGGCGAGAAACGCTCTCTTTGCGGAGCAGTGCTGAGATATTGAGGTTTCCGTCCCTGCAACCACCGATCAGCAAAACAAGGGCTGCCGCTCTTTGGTGCAATGACTGCCTGCCAGTGCTGAAGGTGCAGAGAACGATGCGGAGTTCACGGAAAGGACAGTTCACTTCAAGAGGTTTGTGGCACAGCACCTTGAGAATCTCCTGAAACTCATCGCACATCAGCTCCTCTGTCGGCATGGAAATGGCGAAAAGCTACCGCCGGGCCATACTCTTTAAGCGAATGCGCAACGCCATTTCTCGGCTCCTCCCTTGTGATGGTCCCACTGCCTCGAGCTCGAGCTCTGTTCCGATCTCTACGCTGCGACGCTGCTGGTTCTGTGCTGCTATGTGCAGCTTCGCAACGGTCCCGGTCCATGCGAATCCATAGCTTCTCCGCCTCACAGAAGGGCATGGAAAAAGAAGCTGACAGCCGCGCCACGAAAACTCGCCGGGAGCACCCATTCGCCTTAAAGATGACATGGGTTTGGGTTCTGCGCAGACATGGGCAGACCTCGAGATTACGATTGGCCCCTCTGGGTGGCTTGCGATGCTGGATCGGGTCGTCCGCTGCCGGTATAGCAAACAAACTCTTGGCTTGACCTGCCGTAGAAGACTCACTTTGCCCATGTCACCCACATGACAAAGATATCACCCGACACTCCGCCTGGTTCCTTCATGGCGGCTAAGGATCATGCTCCCAGAGTTTCACTAGCATGCTTGGCAACAGTTTTGAAGAAGACTCATCCTTAGCATCTGCCGGATCCAAGAAACTCTTGCCTTCAACTCCTTGGCTGATATGCTAACAGTTCAACTGTTTCAAGCGGATACTATTGGTTCCTGTCCTTGAATATTTTTTGACTCAAGCAAGCTGCGAGAGGAATATGTTCGAAGCTGCACAACCAAGGCGTCGCGCTGGCTGTTTGCATTTTTTCCTCCTACACAGTGGTCCTCTCGAGGCCGGCGGAGACGCTGGAGCCGTGGCCGTAAAGCACCAGCCTGGTACAGTCGCCGTGCGCAGTCTGCAACCTTGCTGCCTTCTTGAGGACCGCACCCGGCTGCCACCAGCCCTATTGCTGGCAGCATCGAAAACCGAAATGCCGCCATCGAATCATCAAGCACCTGACAGAAGCGAGGTGGGATTTTGCGGCTGGAGCTTCTGGGTCCCGAAGGCACCCCAATAAGGCTCAAGCTGAGAGCGCGAGGTCTTGCAAGGGAAGCTGCAACCTCCCCATCAGGCCCACTTGCCCTCAAAGAACTTGCGTGCGATCTATCCGGAACTGAGGCAGCGGCGCCGCGAGCAAGAAGTAAGCTGTAGCAGAGGCGGCTTGCAGAACTTGGAACCTTGAGGTTCAGTGGCCCCATTCCCTCAATGGCTGCCAAATCAGAATCTTGGCTTGCTGCTCTGTCAGTGTATACAGCCTCGGACTTGCAGCAGGATTGCTCGACTGCGGTTAGCCGGTTAGCCTCCCAAGTCAAGGATCCTTGGCCTCCGACATGCCGGGAAAGGCAAAGAGAAGGACGCTGTGCCAGGCTCCAGCACATGGCGACTTACCTTCCGTAGCTACTCCGGTCTCCAAGCGCAGCCGTGTGCCGTGCAAGACGGGGCCTCCGAAAAGACAGCCCATTCCACCGGAGTAGTCCTGTCGGGATCACTTGGCGTTTTCTTGCCACTCGACGTTGATATGACTCAGGATCGTTGATATTCAGAAACGCCTCTAACACGATGGCAACGTCACCCTTCCAGGCTGCTGACCTTACGACTGTCCATGCAAGCAGCAATCAGTCGTGCCAGCTCTGCCCAGATGTGACATGCATCAGACTAGACTAAGTTTTCGGCACTGTCAGGGCTGCCAGAAAGTTGCAGGGACTTAGTAAGCAATACATCCGACAACAATTTCAGAATGCGCCTTGTTTTGACACATGCTTTTCGAGCTACCAAACACGAGGCTCTTTTGCTCATGCATCTGCCCTCGGAACGACCTTAAATTGCATGGCATCCCTGAGACATCATTGTCGAACTTGTCGAACTTGATAGTTTCCTGGTCTGTGTGCGTCTGCGGTTCTGCACATACCACTTCCGCCTAACCTCCACAGATCTTGGCTGCACTTGCATCTGCACCCGGTGGCGACTAGGCTTCCAGCAGGTCCAGGGACTCTCACAATACAGAACTCGTTTATGCTCGTCGCTGCTCGTGTGGGGCACCATCGTTGCTGGGCCCTCACGGCCAAGAGCGCTGCTTGTCCACCAGACGGTCGCAGGGAGGTCGCCAGGTTCAGCCAACTTGCCTTGGTGGGATCCTTTAGCTGTGGCCTCTCGAAGCTGTCAGCCATTTGCGCGGGCCTCTCCACTCTTCAATATTTTTGGGATGTTTCCTGCGGTCATCGTTGCTGCCTCTCGCTGCCACGACCAGGGCATGCACTTCACCTTCCCATGGCCGGCTTGACCGAAAATTTCTGGGCGGCGGAGTAACCGATCTTTCTGTCCTGCACCTTTGCGAGAGCTCAAGTGGGTGGCCTTCTCCTTCACAGGCAGAACGCTTCATGGCAAAAATTCGGTACGAGTACATTCCCCAATTCCTCCGCCTTTGAAAGGAGTACACTTGCTAATGGCTTCCGAATGTAGCGGGATGCCAACCGCCCTTGCCAGTCAGCGCCACTCTTACCTGATTTTGTCGACACGTGTACAAACCGTGATGATAGGGGGCAGTAGGGCCCCAGAATTGCTGTTCGTGTTCATGCTCTCCTTCTGTCAGCCCAATTTGTCGGATCAGCCTCCAGCAGGTAGACCGATGGGACTCTTGCCAGACTTGCAACTCAATCGACTGCTACAGCTTCTCCAAAGATATTCAGCAGTGTGTTATGGGAGCGTCGGAAATTTAGCTCGTCGAACTGTTTTGCGGCAACGTCGTCTTTGATCGCTAGTGTCCTCACGCAGCCTTCTCACGCGGGTCCCCTTCATTCATTCAGGTGCCACACGGAAAACTGCAGTGAAAAGATGTGGACACGTCGCTTACTGCTTGAGCTTCGAAGCGTATACAGTCGCCGATGCCATCGTCACGGTGGCGATAATACACACGACCAGGTGCATGAGCACTGCCATCAGCACCACACGTGTGCTCTCCTCGGTTCGTCACCGACTTCGAGTACAACGCACATGAGCGACTCCGCGAGTGTCAACAGATTTTGCGGCCATGCCTCGTACCAAAGCTGCGCCTGCGATCGCTAGAGTGGCCACAAAAGCAAGCATCAAACAAAACTGAGCAAGCTTCGGAATTCTAGACTGCGTGCGAGGGAGAAAAGCATCGAGAGTGAAAAAGAAAAACACACGACATGGAAAGCCGCTTCGGGATTAGAGACCAGGCAACTAGTAGACTGAAAAAAGATGAATAGATGCACAGATGACCAAATTGACATGGCTAGACATGAACTCTCAGTAGAATATGTATCTGGATGCATACAAGTGCATGTATGTATCTATGTATGTAAGCATGTTCGTAGGCAGGTATGTATGTGTGTATGTATGAGACTCATGAGACTGTATGTGTGTATGTAAGTATGTTGTATGTATGTAAGTATGTACGTATGCGTGCACATGTATGTATGTATGTATGTATGTATGTATGTATGTATGTATGTATGACAATCTGCTGCAGTCAATCCAGCCATTAAGTTCCACAAAGACAAAGCCGCCAGGGAACGGGAGTTGGAGAAACAGATCGCAAAATCTGAGAGCTCTCGTGGTGAGTCAAGGCGGAATAACAGCAAATCTTCTAGTCGACATCGTTCTGAACTGAGTCTAGGGGCTGCATTTCACACCCTAGAGAGTGCAGCAGATCGTGCTTCAGGTAGTATCGGAGATCCTGCAACTAAGAGCAGCGACAATTTGGCACAATCCTCACATGATACTCTGTATCACATGCCGGCATCATTGGTGTTGGTGGGATGGGTCGTTCTAATGGATAACACGCAAGGTGTTCATGCCTCTGACAGAGGTGGACAAGGTCAGGATGGTGGTGATCCTAGTGATCGGCCCCTTGGTTTGGGTGATGCTATGCCAACTTGAGGTGCTGGGCCACAGCTATGGGATCCATCGTCGTCGTCATCTTCGTCTTCGTCCTCGTTCTCTGATTCTTCGTCATCAGAGAAAGCAGAAGAAGAAGAATGTGAAGATCACCAGGAAGGAAGTTGAGAAAATTCAAGTGCCAACGTTTCCCAAGTTGAATCAACTTGATACATGGAAGTCTCACATCGTCCTGTCCTCCCGAAACCTACTGAACATGGTGAAGAGAAAGTATCGTACCATCGATGCCAAGATGCGTTTGTCTTTACAGCAGATGCTTCGACAATCGGGCAACAGCGTGAGAACGGTCAAGGTTAAGGTCGATAAGTTGCAAAGGAACCGATCAAGGCATGGCAAGATGATTACAAGTAGAGAGATCGACGCGATCATTCTCGAGAACTCCAGATCCAGTGACAGAACTGGTAGGATGTTCATGGTGGAGAACCTCATGCATCTCGAGTATCCACGGGACAGCAAGCTCTATGACTTCTTTCATCACTGACAGCTCTTTCTCGAAGGTCTGCGAAAGGAGGACATTCCTCCCCGCCGCTCACTTGAAGATATTCTTGATAGGAAGATTCAAGGCTCCGATGTTAGAAAAACGGAACTTGCGTCCACCCAAAACCTCGCAATTTTCACAGACAAGAAGTGACAGGAGTGAAGGGTTGTGCAAACCGTGAGCCACTGAAACGACTACTCATGTGCAAACATCCAAACTCCGATGGAATGTGTGGCTGCAACAGCCGAAGAAGCCTTTCAGACGAGTGATTTGTTCCCTTGAGCGCACGACCACCTGAACTCAATGAAAAAACTCCCGTCGCCAAACCCCACAAGAAGAGACTGGTTCTCAAGAATCCGCACAACTCATCGGTGCCGTTGGGCAGCAAGCCCAGGACCCACAAGGACCTACACAAGAGTGTGACTCGTTCGGAGAAACCCGAAACCCCAAAACGCAAACCGGCAAAAACTGTTGCAAAAAACCTTCAAGCTTCGACAAGCTCATTGGCTCCAGAGATTAAACTGTGAAACAGGTGTTCGGGGAACCACGAAAACTGAAACGGAGTGAATGGCTGCCGAAACCCTGAACCCTCAAAGTGGTCGCGAAACACCAATTGTGAATCGATCGTGGGAAACACCCTGCAAAAACCAAAGAAAACTCGAAGAAAGCCGCCAAACCTTAAACCCTAAAACAGGTCAGTGGTTGCCACAGACCCAAAAGCCTGCAGGAGTGATTAGCTCCCAAAAAAGCCCGAACCCCAAAAAGTAGTGACTCGTTGACAGGGAGTGCACGGTTCCGAATGTGCAAGACCCTGGAAGGTGAGAGAGGTTCACTGAAGATCCAAACCGTACAAGGTGTGCGCGTTTACGAAAAAAACAGCACTCTGAGACTGTGCATCGCAACAAAAGCTGGTGATTGCGACAAACCTTAAACCCAACAATGAATCAATGGTTGGCACAGACACAAAACCTAAAAAGAGTGATCCGCTCCCCTGAGCCCAAATCACCAAGAATGGGTGGCAAGCCTAAACCCCTCAAAGCCGTGATTCGCTGACAAAAGCCAAAACCTCTAAAAGCCGTGACTCACTGACAAAAGCCCAAACGCCTAAGAGGAATCATGGATAGAAAAAAGCAAGGCCCTAAAACGGGTGACTCGTTCACAGAAGCTCCAAACCGTCCAAGGTGTGCACGTTTACGAATAAAGCAAAGTTGTGAATCGTTCGCAGAAACCCCACACCCGAAAAGGACTCAGTGGTTGCGACGTTTTTGAACCCCTCAAAGCCAAAAAAAACGAAAGCCCAAAAGGAGTGGTGGGTTTCCGAAAGCCACACCTCTACGACAAACCTTAAACCCTAGAATGGGTTAACCGAATTCTCCGACAAACGTGTGTCGTTTGTAGATGTCACGCAAGCATTTATGTTTTCGTTTGTTCGCATGCATTAGAACAGGGACACTCTATGCGTGCGTGTGTATATATATATATATATATATTTTTTTTTATTTATGTATCTAGTTCGTTATTTATTTGTTTCTGTGTATACATATGCAGCACATACATGATAACTCTATATGCCGTATCTCCTACTGGAAGGACACTTGCGGCTTGCAAGGGCTTGGGAGACCTTCCTAGATGCCAAGGTGCCAGGAGTTGGGAAGGATGCTCGAGAAGAGCAACCAATCTTGGTGTTGCAGCTGCCTCAGGTCGCTGCCCAACTCAGTAGCATTTCACCCAAAGTTGGAGCCTAGCCCGACTGGCCTTGATGCCGAACACGGATGAGGCTTGCAGAACTGCGCGCCCGAACACGTCGTCCTGGCGAAGTGAACAGACTCTTGTCTGAGCCTGTGTCACTAAAGCTAACGCGCGCAGGAATGGTAAGGGTGTCCTGCTCCACCATGATACCTTGCAGAAAGGTACCACAGGAGAAGTTGCTCCTCCTCTCACGCCACCGACTCTGAGCAAGCTTCGGGAAGACTTGTCTGGGTGTTCTCTGGGACACGGTTGATTCTGTTCGCTCACTCGTTTGCTGCCCTTACAGGAGTTGAAAGAAGGGACTACGCGCGGAAGCC